TATATATAATTCGTAATTGAATGTAGATACATTTTCCATTATAAGAGACGCACTTAAAATCACTCATGATTCCTTTGACTGAATTGGAAATTTAATTCTCACTAGCAAAATACAAAATGTAGGAGTTTAGTAATTTTTTAATACTTTTTCCCCCTTTTTTTTTTGTTTTGTTTTTGGCACACTGGACACTGGACATATTTGATATGGTGACACGGATGTGTTCCTTTTATTGTGAAGTGTTCCAAGAGTTTGAGTTTGGCAATTTAAATAGGTTTCATAATAGTCTTTAATTTTTTCAGATTTCTTTTTTTTTTACTAAACTGTCTGGCCAAAAATTTTTGACGAATTACTTCCGACCTTCGGTGTCTTTTAAGCTAAAATTTGCAATTGTATTCGACTATTCGCCTCTCTCTGGCTTTGTGAGACAGAGAGAGCCTGGTGTGCGGCAATTCACAAAATATTTGCGCGGTGAGAAAGAAGAGAGAAAGGCTCTCTAGCCCTCTCTCTTCTCTTGAATAATGTTTTGAAATGCTTTAACTGAAATAGAGCTTCAGTATAAACTGAGCGTCTGTAATTATTAAAGAAGACGCGATTTTACTGTTTATTATATTAATAATGGAAATTTACATTTGAAAGAATTAATTTATTAATCGAAGTTATGAACATTGTTATTTAATAGATTCTTTTATTTTCAAATTATACTTTAAACTTAACTATGAATTGGTTACAACTTCTTGCATAATTAATAAATAATTTATTATATATATATCGATTTACACGATATATAAATTGTTTCAATCATTGATGGATCGCCTAGTTTATATATATAACGCAAAAGCGATAAATAGTAAAAAAAAAATAATAATGAATGTTATCTTTTATTTTATTTTTATATATTTAACACTGCTTTTATTCGCCAAGCGAGTACTTAAAATAGTATTGAACGAATTTAAATCAGCGTTAGCTCAGATACGCAATAGTTCTGAGCTATTTACTATCGTTTGGGGTCGTGCTTGCTGTTCGCTTCTGTGAACAGTTGTGCAGCTGTTTATTGAGAAAGAAACACAGTGGTGCCATCTGTTGGCGAAAAACGTTTTCTGAGCGATTCGATAGGAATTACCATTATTTCCTTGCAAATAAACGGGAAAGGTACAAATTTCCCAATAATATAACATTTTTATTATTATCAAATTATTTGTTAATCCAAGCAATTGAATCAATACAAAAATTGACTAATAATATGAAAATATAGTCTCATAAAGGAGCACTTCACAGAGAGGGAGAAAATTGTAATTGCAATTGACAGTGGCCTAAATCACACTTCGAATTTTGAATAAAATTGGATCTAAGGCAATTGTTGAACCACTTCGGTTCATTCCTTCATTACTTCTCTTCTTTTTTTATTTTATGTTTTATTTTTTAAGACGGCAATGGAGGGCAAAGCCCCTTAGGGGTTGCTTAGTAATGCGCAAACGCGAACATTGGAGTGGGCCAATAGGAAAGTTTTCATTTATGTAGTGTATGCATGTGTATGTGATTCTGCGTCCCTGTGTGCGTGCGTGTGTGTGTATGTATGTTCAAGTGGGTTGAGTGTAAATTAAATATGGCGTCCATTAAGTGCCCACCCAATAAGCGAGAAGTATAGAAGTTTAATGATCATGTGTAACTCTCAATAGATTATAATATACTAGCTGACCCGGCATACGTTGCATTGCCCTATCCATTATTTCTAGGTAAAAAATTGTTGAAAGCTATGTTGTTCAGGTTGGGATACACTCTGATTAATTTATTAAATGTCGGATTATATCCGTCTCCAATAATTTCCGCCCCAAATGAAGTCATTTGGAAACAGGCATTGTATTTTTTAGTGTTCGCTAGAAAATGTCGTGATTCTAGTGTTTCGCCATAAAGCAGGGAACGCAATGGCTCTGGTGGCGGGACCACTAATGGCAATGTCACTTTACCACTAAGGCAGCACAAACCGGGCGTTTCACCAGCAAACTTCAATGCGCCACAATGCTGGCAAACAACGTCCATTGGACCAATGCAAACTAAACGATTCAAGCTGTAATCAATGGTGCAATCATATCGAAACGCTGCTCGATTCAAATCAATCCTTGAACCATTTCTTATTGCCATTTCACGGGCTGCCTCTCTTTGAGAAGCACGAATTAAGGCCCTTCTTNGCGGAGACAAATCCAACAAATCAAAAACCATGAAAATTGGTCCAGCAGATCTCGAGTTATAAGTGCTTGGACACTTTTACACAAATCTCTTTTATATATATAGGTGAATTATGGCCGTTAGTCTGAGCAATTGCATAAAGAATAAAAAAAAAAAAAAAAAAAAAAAAAAAAAAAAAAAAAAGCAATCTATATTCGTATCAATATATGACCAAAACTCCGTAATAAATAATTATGCTTTCAAACACAAGAAACTGATATTCATTATTCATTACATACTCTATAAGTATATTTAAAACTATATTTAAACATCCAACATAATCATAAATAAAGATATTGTGAAAAGAAAAGCACTGATCTATATACATACTATATACAAGGTTATCCATATTCGACTGACCCATCTGGCAGCCTTATATCTTTTGACAGAGATGCCAGATCGCTTATTAACATACCGCGTTGGAAGCTTTATTCTAAACAGATTTTTACCATGATTCATTTTACGCCACGTGAGCGCTCCCAAATTGTTGAAATTTACAAAACAACTCAAGTCAAATGTGAAAACTCATAGATGTGGCTCATTTCTTATTGATTGGGATGGTAAACAAGCAAAATTGCCGTATTTACGCCAATAAAAATCCTCACGAAATACAAGAGGTACCCCTTTACGACGAAAAAGTCACTTTTTGACGCGGCTTTAGTGCGAAATCGATTATATTTTTATTCAAAAATGAAGATAGTCAAGTGTTGACATTAATCAGTAGCGTAATTGCGATATGATAACCACTTTCGTGATGCCAATTATTGTTCGAAAGCGTATGATGCAGTTCTGGTTTCACCAAGAGGGCTCACATCACAATCGATTTTTCAAAGAAATTGTTTCCTCAAAGGCCTATCTTAATAAGCCAACGACCACAGAAGAGCTCAAGAACAACATTCAGCCGAAATGATTGTTAAAACTATAGAAAATGCTGAAAAACTTGCACAATACGCCGTTAATTCTCAAGGCGGGTATTTAAGAGATATCCTTTTCAAAAAGTGATGTTAACAAATCTACTTCAACCAATTCAAATGATTATTATCGTCAACATACAAAAAATGTGTTAATCTTTGATTTTAAAGAGAATGGGTCAGTCGAATATAGACAACCCTGTATATTATATATTAATACATATGTATGTATAATTTACCTCGAATATCGATTGTTCGTTGTGGAATCCTGCACGCCGCAATCCTGCTTTGTCGTGGATGCCCCAATCGCAGGATGGGAATTCAATACGTGATGTGATGTGGCATGAACCGAAGGCAACAGACTCGGAGAGAACCGAAATGGAAAGTCGCTGAAAGTG